AGCCGGGCTGGTGGCACCAGCAGTGCCCAGCTGGCACCCTGACCCTTCCCAGCCCCGCAGAGTCCCGGCCCTGCTCCAACACTTTTACAGCCGGGGAGAACAAAGGTCCAGAAACTGGGTCTGTGTCGGGCCGAGAGCCCGTCCCGTCCCCTCCCCGAAACTCCCGGCGCGGGCAGATGGATCACCCCGGGTCCTCCCGCACCCCTGGGGTGCCCCAGCCCTTCCCACAGCCCTGGATCACCCCGATTCCTCACGCATCCCTGGATCACCCCAATTCCTCCTACAGCCCCAGATAATCCTGGTTCTTCCCACAGCCCCAGATAATCCTGGTTCTTCCCACAGCCCCTGCTCAGCCCAATTCCTCCCGCATCCCTGGATCACCCCAACTCCTCCTACAGTCCCAGCTCATCCTGGATTCTCTCACAGCCCCTGCTCAGCCCAATCCCTCCCACATCCCTGGATCACCCCGACTCCTCCTGCAGTCCCAGCTCATCCTGTTTCTTCCCACAGCCCTGGATCACCCCATTCCTCCCACAGTCCCAGATAATCCTGGTTCTTTCCACAGCCCTGGATCACCCCAGTTCCTCCCACAACCCCAGGACACCCCGATTCCTCTCAAAGCCCGGGATCACCCTGATTTCTCCCACAGCCCTGGATCACCCCAATTCCTCCCAGAGTCCCAGCTCATCCAGGTTCCCCCCCACATACTCGTCTCATCCCAACTCCTCCTGCAGCCCTGGATCACTTGCTACACCCCCAGATCATCCCAGTTCCTCCCGCAGCCCCGGATCACCCCAAACTCATTAAAGACAGAGGGAAAATGCCGAGGGCAGGATGGGGACTGAGGGCAGGACGGGGATCGAGAGCAGGACACGTGGTCGCCCACCCTCTCCCACCCCATGGGACGCAGCCCAGAGGGGTCCCTGCCCTCACCTCCTGGGGGTCCACGGTGCAGTAGTGGTACAGGTACTGGTTGAGGTAGGTGCTGCCGCTGTAGATCTGGCTGCACATGGTCAGCAGGGGGTTGTAGTAGTAGCTGCCCGTCATCTGCGCCTGGGGGTTGACGCCC